CGAACCCTGGCCCTTGCACTCTGCCTAAGCAGGCGCTTTAGTCCACTGAGCTATCGGGCCAGCCCCCTATGCCATAGTACTTGTAAGAGCTCACTTTGCCAGCCAACGTAGTAGATATTTACTAGCTATTTGTTAAAATGTGGTTTACATCTCAGCCTGCTGTATCTTAGAAGATCTTGCATACTCTGTGAACTTTTAAAGCTCTTATAAAGCCTGTTTTATTCTTCACAGAATTTCTTTTCTAATCCTCCGTGCCCATATCCTTTAAAGTGGTAGGTGAGGAAACGGAGAACCTTTTCATCCAGTTGCCCTTTCATCAGCTTTGCCTCCCAATTCTACAATGGGATTTAATGTTTCTGCTGCAGTTTGGTCTCCATTGCCTATCTTCAGTTTCAGTGCCTGGGGTGGAGTTGCATTTATGCTATTTTTGGGGGGGGCGGGGAGATGGCTCAGTAGAATAAGCGCTTCCCTGGCAAGTGCAAGGGGCTGAGTTCAATCCCCGTTCTGCTGAACTATTTTTTCCAGATATTTCTAGCAACAGCCTCTGCAGTGGGGGAGCAGATACTTTATTCTTCTTTGTCCCAGTGGCTTCCGTCACCTAGATCCTTGCACGCACTGGGCGTCCAAGTGTTTTGTTGAGTTAAACGGACTTGAATTGACCTCATGCCCTTCATGAGAAGACCACAGTGGAATGTTCTATGCGGCCCATTTTATCCTTGGTTACACCACCTGGAGAGCTTTCCTTGCCCTTTTCTGCCTCCTTGTAAAAAGCATTTCATCTTATTCTGCAGAGAGAGGGAGAGAGAGGGAGAGAGAGAGGGAGAGGGGAGGGACGGAGGGAGGGGGAAGAGAGAGACAGAGACTAATTTTTTTAGCAAATAGCACATTTTAACCTAGAGCATATATTACCACCTTTGAAGCACTTACTGGCTTTCACCCCGTCTCACCCACCAGAGTTTAAGTATGTTACGCGTCAGAAGTGTAATTGCTCCTCTAATGGTCAGTCCCAGCTATTGCGTGTGTCTAGACTTTCTGGCTTATCATCTGTAGCCACTGCAGAATCATTTTGGATGGCATTTACGGGCCGCACCCGAACAAGCCGCACTCCAAGAAACTCGATATTTAAAGTGGCTTAGCCATGAGTAGATATGTGGCATTTCCCACAACTTCGCTTGACTTGTGCCAAAGAAGGGGATGCTTCTGATGATTATACAGTGGTTTGCAGGCCCAAGTGGGGATGGGATGCTATAATTGCACCTAGGTGGAGCTGAATTGTCGGTGTTCTGCATCCCCGGACACGTAGTGAAACACTGCTGAGAGGACGAAAAGCCTTGAACTTGTATCTGACTTGCTCTAGTACTTGCTGTTTGCCCAAATTTGGATGCCTAGACTCTTCTGTCTGGTTCAGAGTGCAGCTCAGCACAGCTCCAAGGACATTGTTTCCTGCTTCCTGTTGAGCCTTTTCTGTCATCCATATTTGACCCCCGACATTTTTTTCTTTGTATGAGTCTGTGGGGCCCTTGGCTGGCTTTTGTCTTCTAAGAGCTGTGAAGGTTGGGCCTTAGTCCAGGCGAAGTGTTCTGCTCTGCAGCCTGCACCACTGTTCTGCTCTGCTTGGAGATTCCAGCACCAGTGAACACAGCCAGGGACCCCTTACCACACGGCCCAGGTCCACACCCCAGGGAGATGCTTAGGTGGACCCGAGTTCCAACAGCAGTGAATAGGGAGTTTCCAATCTCTCAGAAAGGAGAAGCCTGCCCTTCCTGCAAACTTGGAATGCCACTTTTCATACCTTTATTTAGAAATATTGGTTTGGGGATATGGGTCAGTGATAAAGTATTTGCCTAGCATGCATAAGGATCTAGGATCAAATTCAATCCCTAGATATAGTTATTTATTCTGTGCTTTCTATGTGCCCAGAGCACAGTGGTGAACAAGCTCAGCAAGGCTTTTGCCTCTAAGGAATTTCCATTCTCCCAGGGCTGGTCAGAGACTCACCCAGTAAACAGGCTGATGGCCTCAGCTTGCACAAACCAAGTCTTGTGCAGGTCCTAAAATAAAAATAACCTTAAGAATACACCAACCTAAACAAGTAGTCTAGGGTACATGTCTGCGTGAAGACTCTGGGTTCAGTTCACATTACTGAAGGAAAAAAATCAAAAAAAGAGAGAAAAGTCTTCTTCCTGTGGAGGGCAGTGAGCTGCCTGCTGGGGTGATACGCTGTTGGTGATGCTCATGGAGGGACTTGGTGATGCTCATGGAGGGACCCGGTGACGCAGGCTCCTGGCCCTGTGGTTGGCAGCTGCGAGTGCTGTATAAAGCCGGGGGCCAGGAGCTCGGGCTTGGAATCACGTGGCATTTGAGCCTCTGCCCTTTGTCATAGTCTTGTGTCTTTGGGCAAGTGAGTCCCTATGCTTATTTTTCTTCATCTGTAAAATAGGAATAATGAAATACACTTCACTGTTTGGGCTGGAAATTATCTGATGTAATGAGCAGGCCAGGGCCTGCCCATTACAACCAGCTTCTGGCGACAGTTATTATTTTGTGATGATAAGGACAGCAAAATAGCCATGCTAAGCAACGGATCTGTCAAAGTAGTCCCACTTCTCTGGGAATCCTACATCCGACTTGGTTTCCATCCAGTGGGCTGGCGGCAGCGGTGGGGGCGGGGTGGTGGCGTGGAGTCCAGACCTAGTTTCTGTGCTGGCTTGGAGGGTTCAGCATGTCTCTTGTCGGTGCTACCCGGGGGGCTGCTGGCCTGCCCCAGCTCTGTGACTAGTGAATCGGGGTGAGGGGGTGGTGTTTCTGGTTTCACAGAGAGATCAAGGATAGGGCAAGGTGAGAGAGAGAGCTTTGTGTTCAGAGGTCGGTCAGGTAGATGGGAGTAGGTGGCAGGGAGAGCTTGGGCTGGGTGCTGGCTCTGGGGTTGGTGTCCTGCCCCATGTATGCAGCTCCCAGGTGAGGGCCTGAGAACCGGATGAACCACATGACCCTGGCCAGGGAGGGGCCAAATTTTTAATCAACTGCTAAGCCACCAAACCCAGCCCAGCGAAGTGACTCGTACCATGCAATAGTGGCTGGTAAGGACAGGCTCATGTTACACCCAGCATAGGCTCTGGGTAAAAGGTCTGAGAGGCTGGGGACCATAGCTGCACCAACGCAAAACAGTGGTTGCAAGCCTATATATTTGGATCCCAACATACCAGTTGGCTCCGTCAGTCAGTTGTAGCATGTACAAATCAGGTGATCGTAGGGATTTTGAAAAATTTGTATTTAGGATCTTTGCTGGGGAAAAATCAGATTGACCCAAACTGGGAATTTTTTTTTTTTTTTCCTGAGATGTCCAAAAAGGCCAAATTGAACTGAGTAGTGCCTGTTCCCTTTAGCCTGAGTGTACCGCCTTGACGCAGGTGGTAGATTCCTGCATACCCCGTTCACTCGCCACTGGTCATACCCAGCTCATCTGGCCCATTTGTGATGTATGTTGTAAATAAAATGAGATAATATAAAATAAAGTATTTTTTAAAGAGGAAAGACATTGGTTCTTTTTTTCTTTTACTTTTCTGCCAGTGTTTATTTTCTGGCTTGTGTATCCTGACCCATTGTGAAATAAGTGTCAAGTAAATAAATTTACACTAGGGCTCAGTTGTTTAAAGGATAGCTCAGTTGTTTAAAGCACCGCTTAAATAAACACAAGCAGGCACATAGGGCCACGGTTTGATTCCCAGCTCCAGAAGCTGTATCAGACCTGCCCTTAAGGCAGCCTGAATTAGCCAAAACAAAACCCTCCTTCTGAAATAAATTTGCACTAAATGAATGAGTGAATGGACTCTAACTAAAAACACCGACTTGAGCCCAGAAGCCAAGTTCAAACCCTGAGCTCTCCTTCAGTGCTGAGTGACTCTGAACAAATCACCTCGTCTGTTTTTCATTTGTTTGTCTTTTTAGCGGCGGGAAGGTGCAGAAAAATCCGCTGTGGTTCTTGTATAAAGTCAAGCAATGCGGTTTCACATTTCACACTATTCAGAAAGTACAAAAAGGCTTGCAGAGACCTCAGCTCCATCCTATCCCTTCCACCCCCTTCTGACTTAGGCGAAAACCAGTATTAGCAATAGCTGGTTCATCTTTTTTTTTTTAACATTTATTTATTTATTGTGTGTGTGTGTGTGTGTGTGTGTGTGTGGCCAGCTCAGCCCACCAGGGGGCGGGGCTGGCTGGCATGTGGTGCTGGGGGATCGAACCGCGGTCCCTGGGCTTTATCCAAGCTTGTTCCAAATAGGTGCTTTAGACCACTGAGCCATCTCTCCAGCCCAGCTGGTTCATCTTTGCAGCGATGTTTTATGGACACACAGTGAAATACATAAAGGCTCTCCTTTATCCTTGTTGCGTAGATGGCCACATAAAATATGCGTAGGTCTGTGCCCTACTCTTTTTGTTTGGTTCATTACCCAGAAAGCACCCTGGGTGGCACATACGGGCTTTCTTCTTTAGAGCTGCATAGTGTTCCAGCATGCAGGCTCTCATGGGGCACATTGACTGGCCTCTACAGGGCAGCATTTAAGTATTTCCAGCCCACGGCTTGAGTAAAGATGGCTGGAATGAAAAACCCAGTTCCACACATCACTTGATGTGCTGGGGCAAAATTCCTGGAAGTCGAGTTAGTCAGAGGCCACGACTTTTGTCATCTGGTTGGCTCCATTGTGGTCCAATTTCCCTCCATTAAATTTGCTCCATACCGCTCTCCCTCCAACAGTGTGTACAAGGCCCTCTGTCCCTTCCACCTGCTCACCTGCCAGTTTTGGGAGCTTAAGGGGGCTTTATGAAGAACATAGTGTTGATTGAAAATAGTAATACTAGCTGCAACTTTCTAGGTCTCTACTCTGAGACTTGCCACCATTCAACTTATCCCATTTTTCTCCATGTCAACACTGAGATAACTATTACACCCATCTGGTAGGTGAGGAAAGGGTCTGATGACTTTCCATTCTATTTCATTGCAGGTCACCACACCTGTGTCCATTTGAATACACTGATGAGATACGTGGCAGGGGTCTGCTGACCTACTGGAGCTCAGTAACGGTGACTTTCTCATCGTTCTGAGCACTAGAAACTCACTTTGGCTGCCGTGAGACGGAGGATGGGGCGGTCGAGCTAAGCAGCTGGTCAGTGTCTACTTCCTGATGTTGTGGAAGGATCCTGGTCTTCACTCCCATGCTCAGGACCTGGGCGGGCGCTCCACGCTGGGCTCTGGCTGCAGACACACCAGCAGGGTACGTGTCAGGTGGCCCAGCTCTCTCGGTCCTTGGGGAACTGGCTCCTCCAATTCCAGGAGATCACACTGGGCTGTGTGGCTCAGTTTTCTTTGACTTGATTAATTATGCTCAGAATGGCTTTTCCTGGAAGCCTCAGAGTCATTAGAAGCCACCCACTTCTTTATTTTCACTTGTTGTGCCATCTTTCTACTTCCCTTTTCAGAGTCGAAGGCCGGAGCCTCACTGGAATTCATTTGCATTTTCCGCTAAGCACACTATATTCTGCTTGGGACCCAGCAGACAGAGCTGTGCCCTGGTCCCCAGGCCTTGTCCTCTGTCGATCTTTTTCTCTGAGAAACACATCCTGGATCTGGGTTGCAGAGGTTTCAGACAAACCTGTGAGAGGTGAGTCTCAAGGGCCAGGCGGGGAGGCAGCCTGGTGACCCTGTGATTTCCCAGCAGGCTTTGCGAACCCAGGACCTCAGCTGTCCACAGAAGCTAAGCAAACCCTTTGGCTCCAAAAACCTGGTCATGGAAATCACTCTCAAAGGACAGTGTGAGTGGCAGTGGTCCTTCGGAGAACACTGACCAGCACTTTCATTTCTTCAACTTGGAGAGAGGAGGCCTAGAACTTATTCTGATAGTCATGATGTTGATGGTGGAGGTAGTGATGGTTATGGGCTGAATTACGTCCCCAGCCAAAAAAAAGTCATACCTTGAAGCCTTAACCCTAGCACCTTATAATATGATTATGTTTGAAGACGGGGCCTTTAACGAGGGGACGACAGTCAAATGACATTGTTAGGGTGGACACTACTCCTGTCTGACTGTGTCCTCATAAGAAGAGGCCACACGCAGGGACACCAAGGCTGTAAGTGTCCAGGGGGAGACGCAGGGAGAAGGTGGCCATCTGTAGACCAAAGAGGGAGGCAGCAAGATCAAATCAGCCCTGCTGCTGCCTTGACCCTGGCTTTTCAGCCTTGCAAACTGGGAGAAGATCCATGTCTGGGGCCACCCAAAAGGCGGTGGCGCTTTGTCACGCTGGCCCCGACAGGAGTTCCGCGGTGGTGGTGTGATGCGGTGTGGGACACGCACGCACTGCGCACTTTTCTTCAATCATCTCACCCAACCCTCGTGTCCATGCTGAGTTGTCTGTCCCAGGTTCCAGGAAGCAGGGACACCAGACCAGCCCTCGTGCCCCTGCCCTGCCCTCCGTTGTCCCTGCCGGCAACCCTCAGAGTCCCAGGGCCTGTATCTACAGCACCTGACAGCCAGTCTTTCTGGTTGTTGTGTGTTAACTCCAGTGTCAGCTTTTTGGTGCAGAAGCTGCGGTTCAGATCTGTCCACAGTCATGCACTGAGTGTATTCATTTGTGGTGGCTGCTTGTACAAATTACCACGACCTTTGCGGGTTAAGACCACAGAGATTGATTCTCTCAGTTTCACAGACTCCAAGGCTAGAACCAAGGGGCGCCGGGATTGGGGTCCTTTTGGAAGCCCTACAGGAGGCTCTTTTTCCACTTCCAGCATCTGCTGGCTGCCGGCAGTCCCTGCTTGTGACCGCAGCACTCTTATCTCTGTCTTCATGACATCTTCTCCTGAATGTGCCCTTCTCTGTCTCTCATCTCCTCTGCATCCCACTTGGGAAGGGGCAACAGTTGCCTCTGGGACATTCCAGGGTAAGTGTCTGGCCCCAAGGCCTTCCACTTCACCACTTAACGTAATAGTCACAGCTCTGGCATTAAGACGTGCAGGTATTTTTTTAGGGCATTTCCCCCTGCTGACTGCAGTAAATGAATGGCAGAGTGAGGCTTGATGTCAGAACTCCTCTGGCTCCAAAGCCTTGAGTGACAGGAAGGGGCCGCTGGTCTACTGCGTCTCTCAACGTGCTTCATGCAGTGCTGTTTCTGCTGTAGCTCAGTTTGGGACTGGAATCACAGGGTGAGCGGTTCAGGGCTGCTGGGCCTTTGACACAGCAGCTGCGCTCCTGAATACCTGCCCTATAAAAGCTGCCATGTGGTCCCTGAGACTTACTTTGCAGTAACAAAAACTGGACACTTACTAAATATCAGCCCCCCGGGGACTGGCTAAGTAACTATGACATCACCTAAGCTGCCATTCAGAAGAATAAATTAGATTCATACATAGTGGGGGGGGGGAAGAGCCGTGTTGTGTTATTAATACAGATAAAACTACCTGTGGTCCCTATTAAAAATCAAATAAAATTAAAATTCAGTCCTTACATTGTGCTAGCCGCATTCTAGGGGTTTGGCAGCTGTATATACCCTGGATGGTAAGAGTTCTAGAACATTCTTGTCATCTTAGAAAAACACTGTGAAGTGGGCAGGAAGAGCACTCACTTCATGCTGTAGATGGAGGTAAATTCTTTTTTAGGTTCCTGGGGATTGAAGTAAATGCTTTCACACTCCCCTGCCTTAATTTTTTTTTTTTTTTAAAAAAAACATTTTGAGTCATGGGAATTTAGCTCAGTGGCAAGTGCCTGCCTGGTAAGTGTGAAGTCCTGAGTTCGATTCCTGGTACCAAAACAGAAACAAAAACAAATATGAGACAGGATCTTGTTAAGTCATTCAGTTGCCCGGGCTGGGTGAGAAATGACACTTCTGTTGCCTCAGCTTCCCAGCACCCTGGGATTGCAGGTGTGCTTTGCCACACCCAGCCTGCTTTTTTAAAAAGTAGTAAATAAGCACATATGCTATTATCTGAAAGGCAGGAACACACGGGGTTTCCGAGGTAGCATTCTATTAAGGTGCTAATAGTTTATTACTATTTAAAATGTAAGTGTATCTGTATACTCTTTATGATAATGAAAATATCATAAAATATATAATATATACAAAATCCCCACACACACATAGAGTGGCTGCTCCTGGGGTGGCAGCCTGGCCCACTAGGTCTGGGCCCTTTCTGAGGCTGTGAGGTCATCAGAAGAGAGGGAAGGGTTGCTGTTTCCCAGTGTGGTCATGGCTTGGTGGTTTAGAAACAACAACGGTGTTGTTTTGTTTATTTAGCCAGTGCTTAGGCAGCACTTGCTGTTCGCCATGTACGGTTCCAAGCACTTGCCAAATATTTACTCACGTAGCCATCCTGCAACTCTGAGGTCCTCATAGCTCCCCCCTCGGGGGAGAAAATCAAGCCCCAGAAGTCAAGTAACCCACCCAAGGTCGCATGGCCAGGAAGGGGTGGCTGCCTCGTGAGAGCAGTCTGTGTTCTCACTGTCCTCCCGTCCACATCAAAGAGGGCTGTAGGGTTTTTTAGGACAATGTATTTACCTCAGGGGCCTGAGATTTCTATTTCAATATCAAATCTCAAGAGTGATGCTCCTGACTGACTCATGAGTGTTGATTTCATTTATGGTGGAGTTTGGTAGCACAGTTCAGTGGAGAAGCATCGGGGAACTGGGCTGATTGCACCACCAGTTTGTTAAAGACTTGCCACTCATGAGCTGTGTGCCCTCGATGTGTGGCGGTTGGGGAGGTTCTTCCCATGGCGACAGTGCCTAGCACCCTGTCAGGCAAGTAGCCAATGCCTTAGCAATTTTCATCTTTTCATTCAAGTGTGCCCAGAGATGAATAGGGTTGCCTTGTAGGGCCCTGAGGATTTTCTAGATCAGGCATCAGGGAACCTGAGTCCCAGCCTGTCCCGACCTTCTCACACTCTGGCCACCCTGGATAACACCTCATCTGCTTTGACATCTCTGATTTGTCACATTTAGGTCAGGCCAAGCCCATGCCAGGAGGCTGGCTCCATAGCAGGTGGACACAGGGTGTGTGGCCTTTCCCTGTCCTCCTGCCAGCCCCCAGAGGCTTCCTCCCATGGTTCCCTGGGGCAGCCCCTTGGCTCTGTCCCCAAGTGGGAACTGTGGGGACTACCTGGCAGGATCTGAGAGGGGCAGAGTTTGGGAGATGGAAAATGAGTCAGAGGAAGCTCCTTGCTGGTGTGCAGCTTGGTTCTGGGCCCAGCAGCTGCGGGCTTATCCTTTGGCTGCACACATGCCTTAAGTGAGGACAGCTGTGATATGGATGGGGAGGTACTTTGCTAGATGTTGAGATGCCCAGGGCAGGGCCCAGAGAATGTAAGCTGAGGTATGGAGGGGATAGGAGCTGCCCGAGGTCCCCTGAGTCTCACGTCCTGTTTGGGCAGTGAAGGCAAACAGTTCGTTCTCTTTCCTTTCCTTCCCTGTCCAAGTGCTGTGATGTGGGGGCAGTGCCACTACCCCAAGTTTAAGATCCTCATAAAAGGAGTTAATATCCTGTAATGACACAGTTGAGCCATGCTTTATGGGTCCGTTTAAAGAAGGGTGGTGAAATAGACTGGGCCTTAACTGGTGGGTGGGACCTTCACTGGTGGGTGACACCCTGCACCAGCCAGAGCGAGGGAGCTGCAAGGAGACTCTCGCTTTTATTTCTCCTGCACCTCACTCACTGGCTTGCATTGCTCTTTATAAATTCCCTATCTGGGAGGGGACAGTGATGGAGACAGACTCTCTGTGAAGCTTAACAAGCCTAGGATGACTTTCTCAGCATCGAGTGATAAATTTAGTAACTACCAATTCATTCTGAGCATGGTGTGCAGGAGCAAAGACTATATAAGAAAATGGTACCTAAATCCTCTTTGTTTTACGAAAAAAGTTAAGTGGTGGGAAAAGCCGCTCCTTCTGTGGCTGTCAGTAGTACAAGTCCAGTGCCACTGTGCCCACTGAGAGCACCTCCTCGTGGGTGTCTCCTTGTGGATGTCCTGGTACCTGCTTGACTCATCTCCCTCCTTTTCCAATCATGGTGGTGCGTCTAATCTAGTTGGTGTCTCTGCTGTCCTTCTTCAAATAGCTGGAGCTGTTAATTTTTCTCCCCCTGCCATCCTGAAGGTTAGCACTTAGGGCTGGAAGCTCTCTCTCTCTCTCTCTCTCTCTCTCTCTCTCTCTCTCTCTCTCTCGCATTAGTTTCTGGGAGTTGGAGACAGCTGGGGAGAGAGTTGGCAGAGAGACCAACTATTTCTGGGATAAACCTATTAAACCCTAAAGAAGAGGCTGAAGTATAAGGAGCGTTGCGAGTTCAAGACCAGGGCTAGAAAGTGAGCCCAAGGCCAGCCTGACCTACATAGAAAGGTCCTGACTCAAAAAGACCAAAACAAACAGACAAAAATAACCCTAAAGAAAAGAATGACTGCCAATCAAACAGTCAAACTTGGGGTGTTTCCTGCTGTCCTTCACAGCAATATGAGATCCAGACTCATCTAAAGTCATTCATTTTTAGACTTTGGCTTCACTGAGCAATAAGGGACTGAAATTATAGAGCCAGAGGTGCTGAGGTGAGGAGGAGATCCGTCTGAAGAGACAGAGGTGCCAAGGCCATGGGTGTGTCTCTGTGTTGGGTGTGTCACCTGATCTTACTTTATCTCTCCCTGGCCTATGACACTGTTAGTACCCTGGAACTTTAGACTCTGTGTGTCCAAAAGCCACTCAAGTTGGAGTGACCAAGTTCAGACTTGAACCCAGATTCATTTCGAAGCCAGTAGTACCTTTATTGGTGAAGCCATAAAGCCTTGTGACCTGCTGTGCTGGAACAGTACGGTATTTATGACCTCCGACTCTGTAGGGTGAGATGGATTTAGATAAGCAGTGAGGAAAAGGGAGAGAATTCTGTGCAAGGTGAACAATCCGAGCAGGAGTATTGATGGACAGGAGCCTGATAGGAGCAGTGCCTCCTGCTTGTGAGGCCCCAGGGCTAGCGTACGCGTAAGCGCTCAGGAGATATGTATTGCATGGATGAATGCACAAATAGTTACCTTTCCTACAGGCTGTGACTCTCTACTAGGTAAGAAAAATCTTCAGCTGGTCTACTTTTTATAGTGGTGAATAAACGTTCAACTCACAGATGGGTGTGTGGTAGCACACCCCTGTAATTGCTGTCCACTGGGAGGCTGAGGCAGGAGGGCCTCAAATTGGAGGCCAGCGTGGGAATTTAATGACATAGTGAGAAGTCTCTTAACATTGAATGAATGAATGAACCGGGCGTGTAGCTCGGGGGAAGGCTATTGGCTTCAGTTTCCAATACAGTCCGTGAGTGATGGCAGATGCATGGAGGTGAGACGTACCTGAGAAAAGAACTGGTTCTGTTACTGGGTTTTGGGTGCTGGAGTCTTCTTCTAGAGTTGGTTTCCAAGTTTTTGCTGTTTTAAACAAAGAATTGGTAGTGACTAGCTCAGAAGGTAGCGAGAGTTTACATTAAAAGTAGGAAGGGAATGGTATCCTGCAGTGTGAGTTTGGGCCGAGTAAAAGGAACATACATGCACTAGGGGTGAGAGTGGAATCCTGTGGGTGAGAGAACACGGTGGCAGAGGGCTCAGGGCCACTGGCTTCCTGTGTCTCTCACTTGGACCGTCAGGCCTAGTCTGCCCTCGCCATAACCACTGGAGTTTTCTGGAGATGTCCACGCCAGGGCTTTGGGAACTGTTCTGCTTGGGTCCTGGGACTCTGTAATTAGGTCGCACCTGCCTCCCCAGTGGGTTGGCCCAGCCCTAATCTCCTGCCTCCATACTTTGGGAAATACCAAGTCATGCGGATGGATTGCAGGCTGGAGGGACAGCGGCTCCTGGGTTCTCCTCAGCAGTGTCTACAAAGCCTTCTCTAAGTCACAGCGCCATGGGACACCCTGCACCCCCAGTTAAGGAACAGGAACCCCAGAGGCTGATGCTTCATGACGGCTTGGGTGGAGAGCCCTAGCCAGCCTCCCTGGAGACATGGTTGGCTCAGCCCAGGAGATCTCAATAAAGTCTGCCCTCTCTCTTCAGGTGTTGCCTAAGAGTGTGTTTTTCACAATTACGGAGGGCCAGAAGCAGCCCTGAAGCAAGCCTTTTCTGTGGGCAGCTGGAAACATCTGGTCCTATAAAGACAAAGCCGACCCTTTGCCTGGACTTATGACCCGTGGCTTCGCACCCAACCTGCTCACCGAGTGCCACAAGATGGGCTCCTTCCGCAGGCCGAGGCCGCGCTTCATGAGCTCGCCGGTGCTCAGCGACCTGCCCCGCTTCCAAGCCGCCCGGCAGGCTCTGCAGCTGAGCTCCAACTCGGCCTGGAACAGGTGAGGAGCTGGGGGTGGGCTGGAGCGCTGCGGGGGCTGGGCAGGACCAGGGGACATCTGGGGCCTGGCTGACCACCCACGCTTCTGGGATCTCGGCTCTGGAAAGTGCTGACAAGGACAAGAGATGAGTCTCTTCCTTCCCCTTCCCCCTCCCCTCCCCATCCTCCCCTCCCT